GGTTAAAGACAAGAGCCCATAATCACCCTGCGCACACCGATATCAATTAGTGGGGTTTATCTATGCTCCATTGTCCCTCACTTCATCTTCCTGTCCAGAGATGATATGATGGGTATCTAAAGTACTGGTGTCACTTACAGTGTAACTACTGGATACCCATGTAACTAACAGAGCCAAACAGGACACGTAGAACTATTTATTAGCTGGTTTAAAAAATTCCCAGCTCATTCCCAGGTTGCACAACACAAAACATTGCCTAGAGCTCCAGGTATATCTCGGTCACCGTCTGTGGTATGGTCAGACAAGAGAGGGTTCGTTTATTGTTCCGAGTTCTGCGGACCCAAATCCTAGCTCTCTCTCTCTCTCTCTCCCGGTCATCCACGGCCACATGATGTAAGCACACTGCAGTCAGTCATGCTGCACCCAACATTGAAGTCACTCCACGCTGCTGCAGTTCAACATTCCAGGGAATTTCTCAATGAGGGAGCCGTGGGAGTGCTCGCAAGCTCAGAAATGTTTCAAAACACACGCCTCAGTGACACTTTAGGAAAAACAATTACAGTAGAACAGAGTGTTCCTCAACCTTCTTATATTACATTTTATTATGATACAGAATTAACCATGAACGCTTCCCTGTACTGCCAATTTCACCACTTTCTGAATTGTACTCCAGGACGTACAGTAGTCACATGCAAGAAAGAAAAACTATCTGTTAGTCCATGCTCAAACTAAAATGACTACAGATTTTGTATGTTTTCAATAAGATCTCGATGGCTTAATTTAAAAATTGTTTTTACTGATTGTCAACACAACATCCTTAGACTGCCTAATTACTGCCTAAGACTGCCTAATTACTGCCCAATATATCTTGGGACATTCTTTCCTAGTCCTAAGTCATGTTCACGTCTATGTTAAATAGGTGATCCCAAATTACTGTATGTAATGTTACTAATTCACCTTAGGATCAAGTCTAACTGGCTCAGGCAAAAAAACTGTTCAGCTGAGGTGCTAATGACACCAAGAATTATTTTAATCCCTCCAGGAAAGAATTGGCTAACCCTAATTTACTATGAAAAATGCCTTAGTGGTGTCACTAACAGCCTCTGTCACAAGCACCATCCTGTTGATTGTTCTTTTAAGTTTTAAATGTGTTCTCGGCACTTTGCATGTGTTAACCACATCTTAAAATACTTTGGGACCTACATAAAATACAGTCCTAAATTTTGAGGGTTCTGGTAAGAATTTAATGAGTTCAGAATTCCCAAAAATGAACTCAACATTTCCTATTCTTACTGAAATTCCTAACAAGCAAACTACAACTGAAATGAAAGCTGAAGCTTCAAAAGTAAGAAAAGAATTTCAAGTTTGTTCCCACAAAGCAGGCTATACTTTTGATGTTGAAAACAGCATTTCTGGGTAAAGAACAGTCAATTTTCCTCAAAATGTTTTCAAACCACCAAAGATCCAATGGCACAATCTGCTGCACCTTTTATACAATACTACAAATTTTCTGTTCAAGCCACCTCTTAGTAGACAATCAACCAGTACAACCTACAGTATGGTCTTTGAAGGAAGTTCTATTTCATTCTTTGTTTTTACTGAAAATGTATATGAATATCTGTAACCCCATTACTAAAAATGTAAGTTTACTGCCATCTACTTTATTGTTTCAGAAATATGTGGCCTAGTCATTTATCTTATTATGCTCAATCCATTACACTTTACTTTTTTGCTGCCTATGCAAAGCTTATTTGTGTGCACTATAGGTATTTTGGTACCAAAAGTATGGCATTAACGAACACTCACAAAAAACCCAGCCATTTAGATTTCCATCATTTAGGTGTTAAGGAAGACTATAATTTTGCCTCTAAACACTAAGGATTACCAGGGATCGCTGGCTTTTCTTTCACATAGTTTGTTTTTATAAGGATGTTTTGTCTCTTGATGATAAAACAGGTGAATCTTTTCTTTTCTTTTGCCTCTTGGCCTAAAACGTGTTTAAGGCAAAGCTGTGCAAAAGGTTGTCTAATGTAAAAAGCATTTAAACTTCAGAGTTCAGCTACACTTTGCGTGTAGAGTAAGTGAAAGGTCTTTAATTTGCCAAGACCAATATAAATAACAATCTGAGAAGCCAACAAAGCTACTAATGTTCTTAACAACTGTGGTCTTCCTGCTTCTGGTCCAAGCCTTTCATCAATTTATTTTATAGCTCCGGGATCCTGACAGAATGTGAACCTTTTAAAACCGCCAACTGAAAACTACATTGCAAAAACGCTACAAAGGACTGATTTAGCAAATAATACGAAAGTCTGGGTCAATATTGTTCTTGAATTGGAAAGACGGACTCCCAACACTTGGGTCAGTGTGAACTGGACACCTTGGCATAAGTGCCCAACGACGAGGGAGAACGACAAAGTAGCAAAAGGTGGGAGGAGGCCTTAAAGTCCGGGGCAGTTAGAGACAGACAAAAAAAGTTGCATTCAAGAGCCCATTTAAAGCCAGTCCAAAATTCCTCCCACTCAGAAACTAATCAGGTAACCCGGCTGTCACTGCATTGCGAGCGACATAGAAGCCTAGCAAAAGCATGAGAGGCAATGAGTTCCTCCCACGCGGGAAACGGCTCTAACTCTACCATGGCTGGACTCTATCATGGGTGCCTTAAATTTCAGGGTTGCATAAAAACGGGTTGCCGTGAATTACCTTACAGTGACACATGAATGGTTACATTACGGTCCCTTTTAATCCAGTGAGTTAAGAAAATAGAAGAAATGTAAGTCACGGAAATCAGATCAGCGTCATTCTGCGTGCCCTTTTACTTTTCAAAATACTTCAGCACGGCATGAAATTTAGGCTCTGCTCATCTGAAACGGCAATTCGGATGTACATAACGAGGGGCTTAATTTCAAGACGGTGATGCCTATAATGCAGTATGCAGCAGCTAATGCATCATAAGTGCTCAGATATCGCGTTTCACTGGGGCTGTTTGAAATGAACAGTCCAGGCTTGCAATGCAGTCCACCTACTTGCAAACAGCAGCTAAAAAAGGAAACCTCCAATTCATATACTGTATTTATGTTCTGCTTGCCAAGCACTTGGAGAAAGGGACTTGACAGAATTCACTCCCAACCTATAACTACTAGGGAAGAGGCCAACTGCACCGTGTGAAAAAGAAAGACTAATTACTTACTGCTAAAAAGTGACAGGAAATAATTTGTTTTGAGGGTATACCAGAGGGGGAAAAATGCATAATTTTCCTGTGTCTTCAAAGTGTTTCTTTGAACTCTGTGGTAGATGTACAAACCCCCACATATGAAGACACTAAGAACTAACTGGATTCTGCCTGTGTAGGAAAAAGTTTCAGAGTAATTGATAGTGTACCGAATAGAAACAAAATGATCAGCTGAGTAGCCTTTCAAAGCAAACAGTCACGACATTTACCGAGCACTCTACACATCTCAAGAAAACATGTAAAGTGCACTGTTTCTCAGGCAAAAACAGGTTGAGCAAAGACTACTGTATCAAAACGAGTCACGTCCTCTGGAAATTTCAAAACCTTCGTGAGGGGGTTGGGGGAGTGAAAGTCACACACATTTTTACTCCTTCAACGGAAACATTTTCTTATTATTTTTAATTTCAACACAGTGCGATATCTCTTAGATTACAGCAAGACAGTGGGTAGTGGAATTCCTGGAGATCAGCTGGGCTCACATGACATTGTCATGAGTAAAAGCCTAAGAGCTGATCGACGTCAGAATCAAAAGCCAGGAACTGCAAAACACACCAGCCTACTGCTAGACTACTACTTTGACGAACATCTTAAATGTTCCGATGGCATAAATGAAAACATGTCGGTTATCTATAATGACGCACTGAGTTGTCAGACCAGAAATTGCTTGGGGTGGGTGCTGTACGTATGGAAATAAATATAGAGAATATGGAAATTTAATTCCCGTAATTCTACAGACGTCAGATATTTATATTTTGCAGTTAAGCACTCATGTCGCCTCGACTCAATCGGCACCGGAACACCGGGTCAGCTTTATCAATGACATTTCACAGCCGGATTAAGCAAACGACCTTATAAATCCTTCAAGGACGCTTTACCCCCCCCAAAAAAAAATCACTGAGTATTTCGCTGGGAATCTAACCAGTTAATTAGAAAAATCCCTTTTATTCACCTTCATCTGGGTGGCGTGTTCTCAGGGAAACCCGGCTATCGAGCACATCCGCTTGCTTTACCCTCTATAGGTGAATGAGAATATGTAATCACAGCAGAACCAGATCTTAATGATATTTGTTAAAGCTGATGAATAAAAAGCAACAGACTAGCACCATTCTGATGTTTTCACCAATTGCGGTGTTTAGCTTTACTACCCTAGGTGTTAGCACACCTCTCCTCTCGCTCTGGTGCAAGTCTGACAGGCACCTGATTTGCACGGCGATGGGACTGGACAGCCCGTGCTGTCCGGTTTCCTGGTTACACTGAAGTCCGAGCGCAGAGACACCGCAGGCTCGGCGCTATGGCACCGGTCCATTGTTCAAACGCATTTCGTAAACAAGCCAAAACGCACGGTTGCCTGTTCCGCCACGATTAGCCTTCACGGTTTTACCAACTACCAGACGCCGAAGCCCTGCGAGACAGGGGCTCTTTATCACAAAGCGAGCTGCCACAAATTGAGGGGACCCAAGCTCCCCCTGACCCTGCCGTGCCCCGCTTCCTTCCCCACTTGAACGTCAGCTGTTCTGCAAGATACATGAGGTCTCTTTCATTCTCGCCATGAATAATCAATAAAGCGAAATGCCCAAACCCCGAGGACCTACTACCAGTTTGGCGGCTAAGAGTACAGACAGGCCTTTGTCAGGCGGTCTGAAGTCAAAAGATTTGCGGCGCACTCGAGCCTGTAACACTTGAACACCGGAGGTGGCAAAAAAAAAACACATCAACACACCCACAGTCAAGTACTGGAAAATATATATAAGTAAAAAAGGGCCTGGCTTACACATAGATGATGGACATGAAGTGCATGAGCCACAGAACGACGAAAAGGATGAATCCGAAGATAGCGAGTCCCTGCAGGGCCAGATCCAGCAGTGCCATGTCTGTACTTAATGAACTCAAGTCCCGGCTAAGGTACTTGCTAGCGCAGCACTGAAGCGACTGAATAAGAGAAACCTTGGGTCCGCCGACACTGCGGGGAGCTAACGCAGAGCACGGGGCGTGCCCAGCCGTGGGGGGAAGGCCTATGCCGCTTACGTTTGAACTGAACCCCGTTAACGCTTTAAAGGGTGTGGTCTCGGAGGCTGTCAGGAAGACTGGGTCTGAGAGGAGAGCGATCTATCGCCCCCTTACGAGTAAAATTGTGTAGCTTTTGTGTTGCCCTTGCTTGTGCTTGCTGCGGGTGGGGGAGAGACGAACGTAATAAAACTAAATGTAACAAAAAGCCTGTGACTGGATGGAACACCCTACCCTACCGTGCAGTTGAAGCTGACACCCGAAACTAAGACTGTTCCGTTGAAAGGGTTAACTTTTTGCAGAAAAACTTGAAAAACGTCAAAGTACTTATTTAGGGCTTATTTTGTTTACCTGAGTGCTCAATAAATTTAGAAGAGATGAGATTGTCAGTACAGTAGATTGTCAATAGATTATAAGTACATTTTAATGAGCAATGTTTATTACACGTTGTTACGTGGTGTGTTCCACGTTTTTGTAAGGTATCACTGGAGTTTCACAGGACCTCTATTCAGGTATCACTCTTTACTACTGAATGTTAGGACGAATGTGTTAGATAAAATGTTTTCTGTGAGTGCTCATGAATATGGAAGTTGGTCATTAATTTAAACTTTGTCTAATACGCGTAAGTGTGAGCCATAAGAACATACTAAAAGTTGTTAATTATAATAACCTTTGCTAATAAAGGCCCTTCAACCCATTGAGTCTATTTGGTTCCAAATATCTACTAGGAACTAACCTGGAAAATAATGTTTATTAAACTACACTGACACTTTTATCCAAAATGACTTACGTCTAGGGTTCGGTGGCGCAATGGTTAGCCTTGCTGCTTTGCTGATTAGCAGTACTAAGGCCCTGGGTTCAATTCCTGCATTGCTACCTGTGTGGAGTTTGTATGTTCTCCCTGTGTTTGCAAGAGGTTTCCTCTGGGTGCTCTGATTTCTTTCCACAGTCCAAAAACATACTGGTATTCTATGAAATTGGCCCTGGTGCTGTGAATGTGTCTGTGTTGGTGCTCTACCATGGACTGGTGTCTCATCCAGGGTGTATCCTGCCTGGTGCCCTCTGCTTGAGGGATAGGCTCAGGCTCTGCTCCCCCGAGTCTTTCTTCTATAAAGCAGGGGCTGGCACCTACCGGATTAGACAAGGGGACACAGTTCCTGATGTGGCTGCTGCTGTCCCTCGCAAAAAAAGGCCTGTGGGACACGAGGAACAATCTCATCCGGCACAATGTCAAGTGGGGAGCAAGGGAGCTGGAGGAGAGGATCCTGGTGGACCTCAGGAGGAGGATGAAGCGCGACGTTGCCAAATGGGGTTTCCCCACAGCGAGGGAGCGCTGGAAAGGACTTTGGACCCTGTACAGGGATTAATGGACAACAGCAAGTGGTAGGGTTTGGAGGGACTCTCATAATAGCGCAAATCCACCCACACTTGCAATGATTGATAACGGACAATCGCCGCCGTTCCGCCATTGTTTTTATTACGTGGAGTGTTAACATGCGTGAGATGTCTCCTTTTTTTCGGAATAAAGTATATTTTATAAGAAAAAAAAATAAAGCAGTTAGAAAATGGATGTATTATATGCAGAAACTGGGGAATCGTACTGAAGTTGACTGAGTGAAGTACCTTATTCATGGGGACAATGACAGTGCCTCACCCACGATTTGTCCACAGAACCATCCTATCACAAATCCCACACCCTAATCACTACTCCAGTGCTTGTTTTCTGCTAGCATTGCTTGTATTGTACTGACAGGAATGTTGCGGGTACAGTTCATGTTCTTAAGCATTATGTCAGTTAGCACATTAAGCAAGCTGTGAGATGTCATGGCACCTACAGTGAAATACCTTACCCAGCACATTAAAAAGTCATAAATGATCAATGTATTTTAATGGAGAATGTCCTTCGTGTTTGGCATGTACTCTTGGTAAAAAGCTGCATGTCAAGGAATAATGACATTCTTTATACCATGACCTCAATAAAATTGAATCTTCCTCTGTGTGCAGTTGGCAGCTCCTGGAGCACAAGTCACCTATGCTAAATTCCACAGTATTACGTATTATTGGATGCCAAAACAGTAGCAGAGGTTATAGCTTGTGAATATGACTGTGTATGATTTTATTTAGAAGTACAGTGGAAATATTGTCTGCATCATCAGGCAATATGTTTATCCAAAAACAAAAACATATTTTTAAGTTAATAGGCTTCTGGGAAAACTGGCCCTGGAGTGTGTGTGTGTGTATGTTTGTGTCTGCATGCATTGTGATGGACTGCTGTCCCATTAACACTGTATCCTGTCTTGTGCCCATTGCTTGCTGGGATAGGCTTCAGCCCCCCCTTCCCCAACCCTGAATTTGAAGAAGCGGTTTGAAAATGAATGAATGCAAGAAGGTAAATGATGGAAAATAAATTGTACATCAGACATTTCTCCTATGGATATTTTCCTCTACAGTTTACATTTTTGTGCTCCGTATTTTTTAATTGTCCGCTTACTGCAGTGACAATCTGATGCAATGACACACAAGCACTTATCTCCAAGAGTCATTTAAGAACAGAAAACTGTTCATTCTTATTGCAATACTTGACAATAGAATCAGGAAGGAACAGGGCTCTGAGCTGTATTTGACAATTTGTGTATCGTTTTGTGGGGAAGCAATTAAAAATGAAAATAATATGTTAGAATATAGAATTAGAAGTTAAGCATTTAGTCAAAAATGTGTTATTTTCTTATTGATCTTAAAATTGTACAATGTCTAGGTAACTGTCTTCTAGAATATTATGCACAAGTTTCATCACAACATTGCAAAAATTAAAATTGCTGCTCTTTGAACACTTCAAAGAAGAGTGACCAGATATATTCCTAGGCATAAAGGAATGTTAGTGACAGGCTAAAAGAAACAAATCTTTTTAATCATGAAAAGAGAGGTGTATGGTATGTCATTTGCCATCCGCGCTATACCATATGGTGTCACAGGAAGCCGGAGCCTACGAGCACAAGGCAGGGCACATCCTGAACAGGGCGCCAGTCCATCGCAGGGTAAGTGCAAGCCAATCATACATGGGGACAATTCAGAGGCCACAGAAAAGGCCCTACTTTTATTGAGAAATGCCCAGTGATCTTTAATGACCACTGAGAGCCAGGACCTCAGTTTAACTTTCCATCCATAAGACAGTGCCCACTACAGTACAGTATAGTATAGTGTCCCCACCACTATACCAGGGCATTAGGAGCCACACAGACCGCAGGGTGAGCACCCCCCACTGGTCCCATTAACACCACTTCCCACAGAAACCATAGCTTCCCAGGATGTCTCCCAGCAAGGAACTGACCAGGCTCAGCCCTGCTGAGCTTCAGCAGGTAGCCAGTTGAGAGCTGCAAAGTGATATACTGTAACTGCTGGCTGGTGTATGACATGACCTGATTAAAGTATTTTAAATCCCAAAATGGGTTTGTTCAGAATCAACACAGAAATGGTAATCACATAACAAAAGTGGAAACTAAGAAGAAATGTAAGTTTTTACCCAAAAGGGTTTGTGGGATACTGTAAGATGTTACTCTGAGCTTTTTTCGAGAAAATATAAGATAAAGATAACAAGACCCTTTGATCAGTTAGCAATGACAACTGGGTAACCCCCTCTCATTTCTTATGTTCGTAATAATAAATAGTACACTGTTATCTTATTAGAAAAAAATACTGTACATTAACTGAAACATTACTTGAAAACAAGTTCTTTATTCTCCCTGTGACCAAAGTGTGGCCAGATTTCCCTCTATAATAGAATTAATTAGATGTGCCTACTTGCCCATTCAATGCCCACAGGGAAAACCATTGCCTATGAATTTAAGATTTTGTGACATGGTCTATACAGAAAATCTTATTATTCATTTCAGATCGTGTTCTTTTTTATGTTATATTTGCAAACACAAAAGCATGCAGTTCTTGTGAAAATACCTGAACAGCACAAATGAAGATAAGCCATTATGAGACACAGAGTACAGCATTTACATCCATGGTTTTAAATTAAATGGCATTGCAAGTAAAGATTTCACTCTTTAGAAAGGCTTTATTCACAAAGGACTCATATAAGTACCTTCACCCAAAATAGCAAGGAACACACTGAACAGCCCATCATGGAGGATGAAACCCAGACACATATTAAGATCCATAAACATAAAGCTCACAGGAGCAAAATGGCTTACAAGGGTTGTCAAAACAGCCTGGAAGGAAGGGGAGTCCCAGAAGACTAGTAAAGAGCTACAGTGATTCCTATCTGAAAATAAAATTCTGGGACTAAAGTACTCTATGAGTTTATCTTCACAAATGAGCAGAGTACAGTGTACCGTATGAAGGCAGATATCAGCACGAAGAACATCACCAAATAAGACAAGGCATGTGTGGTGTAGTGGATGAAAATGTCAATATCAGCAAGTTAACCAGCTAAAGATATCAGAATTAATGACTGTTAGCTGACTACCCAGCCTATTCCTCCTTACCATGAGCTGAAGCAGGTCGATGGGCGAGTTCAAATATCGAGGTAGCGTTTTCACTGAGCATGGAAAACTTTTGATTTAAAATACAATTAAGGCTCAGATTACAATTTAGGGTCAGCTGGTAACCTAGTCTGTTACCAGCGAAAGACATGGACTCTGAGAAAGAACCGTTGAAGAAAAATAACGAGGTGCAAATTGAGGCGTCTTCCAAAAGTCAGTCCACAGTATGTGGAGATGGAAGTTGACATGAAACTGAATGGGGTTGACATCTGTCTTGGTGTGGGATCTGGCCTTACAGAATTCTCCTGTGGCTGGAGAGTGGTGTTATGGGGCTCTGAAAAAGAAGAGGGAAAACTAAAGTGCCTTAGCACCACACACTGAGGACACTATTATCAAACAGGATTTTTCACTAGTATTTGAATGTGAGCTGTTTTCAGACTTCCACGAGAATGTAAAAATGTCAGCAAATGAGAGGGGGCTCTCTAGCTTATTTTGTTTTTAGTATCCAAGAGACAGATACTTCCTGAAATAAATAATATA